CGAAAACATTGGATCTTCTTGAAACTTCTTGAAGGTCGAGCAACTTCAGTTTTTAAATAAGTTGTGTTTTGTACGCTTTCTATTTAATGAACGTAAAATGCGAGTTGCTGCGATCGGTGACGGATCGACTCTCGAATGATGGGTCTCAAGGTGGGTAATGGTGTTGCGAATAGTACGCTCTGTGGGCCGTAGTTAAGACATAAGTTGAGCGCATCACACGAAACACATTAGTTACGAAACATGAATTTTCGAAATGAAGTTCAACGATGAAATACCAAACAATAATTAAAAAAAAATGTCATGACAGCATGACTCGTAGAAACAGGACTTTACTTTTCAATTACCTACTCAGCCCAAAGTAGCACATATTGACATGAGTTATTCTACGTTGAATTTCAAGGCTGACATTATTATTGGTGTTGATGCTGGTCCTTAAATAGACGAAATTATTCGAAATTATGACTGTCAATAGTGACGTCTATTTTGTCTTGTCCTTATTCACTTTTAAGCCCATTCGCTTCATTTCTCGAGCATGAAGAAGGCAGAACTAATGGCTCAGTTGTCCAGATCTATGATATCAATGTCATCGTCATACGGCAGCAATTGTACACTCGAGTAAAAGAATATGCTTTAGCATTTAGAACATCAGATCTTGTTATTTACTCCAGCATCAAATTAAACAAATTTCACCATAAGCAATTAACCTATTTGAAATTTTGTTTGGTATCGAATGGCTCGGAGAGGTCGTTCCCAATTTTGAATGCACTTCTGGTGTTGTCCAGCGCTAATGTACAAAGCCGTATAATATGCGGGGATACCAAAGTCAGACAAGGCGGCGTTGAGGAAGCTTCTTTCCGTGCTGTCGAAGGTAGTTTTAAAATCGTTAAAAATGAGATGTGTATGGATTCTTGCCTTACGAATCTAACCCAAGAATTTTTGCATGGTGAATATCTTGTCAATTGCGAGATCCAATCAGCTTGTCGACGATGGACTTTAGTCTTCTACATAATATGCTCCATAATATCTTATATGCGATACTTAGAAAACTGATCCCATGCTAACTGAGCATACCTCTGACCATATTCTGTAAAGAAGCTAATGCCAGCTCTTCGCCACAATGTTTAAATAGTTCAGCCATGTAAGTCATCGTCTGCAATTGTTTTGTTGTTCACTAAGCAGATAATCTATATTCGAAGATCGTCACAGCCCGATAGTTGATCGTTTTTTCTGTCACGAACGATTGGCGTTTCGACTCACCATCTCAGAGTGTTGCATTTTCACTGCCATTCAGTGGAAAAGTGTTCCCCCATATACCAAGCAGCATGCTCTGGACATCGGATTTTCATAATTTTTATTTTAGCTAATTAAAAGCCAGTAAATTTGATGGAAGTTTCTCATGTACAATTTCAATCATATCTCAAATGCAAAGTTTGGTATTTTGGTATTTTTTCAATGAATCTCCACACTGTGCACACTTGCCTACATTGAAAAATATTTATGTACAACTTTTATACTGATATATGAAACTAAATTCTGCTTGCGTACGATGACATATAAGTTCCCATATATATAAATACACCTAAACACTGAAGCACGTGTCTGCATGTGTGTGGAATTTAATATTCTTGATTTATAACGCATGACATAAATTAATTAATTAAACAAATAATTTTAAAGACCTCCTGAACTCTCCTGAAACTCTGCTTGTAATTTTCAAAATTATTTGTTGTAATCAAAAAGTAGAGAAATTCAAATTCTGTGTGGAAAATCTGTGGTTAAACGTTTGTGAAACATGTGGACGCACACATTCACAAACGAAGAGGGAATGAAAGGGCTGCAACTGGGACAATTAAAAATTGTGCAATGGCAAATTGACTAAAGTTATATTTTTTTTAGATTTTTATTAACAATTAGAGATAGTTTTCAATTAGAGCAAATCTGTACAATATCTGCCAACTTTATTACGAGCACACCTATACACACTCACACACATTTAAACACGCTTTTATGCTTATAAATATATGTATATGTATGTGTTTAAATATGTAACCAAAAATTCCATAAATATTCGTATGTACATATATATTGTATCTGGTGATGCATATACACATTTATATGGCCACTACTAAGTACATATGTTCATAAATATATACATATAAGGCCTAGTAAATGCTTGTTTGTATGCACATACGAGTATTCATAGAACTCCTAGAAAAGTCTTTAAATTTTATCAAAGTTGACAAAGTGCCTATGGCTTAGTGTAACATAACCACAAAACATAAAACGATGGAGAGCGGCTGCTGAAGAGATGGAGCGGCGCAAAATACTCGTACACATCATATGCGGCAGAACAGCAACAACACTTTTTTATTTTTTTCCAGATTTTGTTGCAATATTTACTCAGCTGTTTGCTTGAAATGTTTTTTGTGTATTTAGTTTGAGTTTTGCATACACACTAACACACACACACATATATATACACACACACTCACCCACACTTAGCCAAATCAAGCTGTGCTGCCTGTACGTGTAGTTAAAATGCAAATGGTTGCATATTGTTAGGAGCAAGTCCGTAACATAAGGATTGTGTTTTATATTTGAAAACAATTTGCTTGAATTTTATAGTGGAAAAGGGTTAAACTTCTTGTTTACAACCGAACTCAATGTGTTTTTCCTTTTTTCTATTATTTCTCTTTTTTTCCTTTTCCATGCAAAAATTGACACAAAATGCCGTCATACAAGCAGAAATACCTAAAACAATATGCACGTGCATGTGTATGCAAATGCATAAAGTTTTATAAATATTTGTTTATGCGAACGTCAGAAAACTTTGGGTCCGGTTTTTGAGTTGGTCGTCTCTTCAAAAATATGCAGATTTGGCTGCTTTAGCTACACACAGTGGCACAATACATTGTGAACGAAAAATATTTCTTTTATTTAAAGCACACACAGTGTGCATAAAAATTTCGTTTAAAATTAAAATACCGTTTCTCAATCAATATCATATATTTATTCTCTCATTGGGAAAAATGATAAAAAAACTGTCCTCTTCGTCTAATAAATAACTCAAAAATAAAGAAATAAATATTTACTAAATGAATAATTCTCTCACACACTGTAAGCACATTCTGTGTCCTGCTCGAAATATCCATCTTTTCATTCATAAAGTGCTGAAATGATTGTTTGCATAACTCAAAAACAAAGGAAAGTGTTTGAAAAACTTTATTTCAGATAATAATAAGTGATTGTTTTTATATTCTTTTGTGTTTTTTTTTACTTTTAAACTTCTGCTTACATTATTATTATCAGTTTTTAGTTTTTAAGTGCTGGTGAATTAAAATTGAATGTCACTTTGTGCTTAAAAGTAGATTATGCCACTCGCAATAATATTTATAATTGAATAAAAAAACCAGTTTGTCGTCAACTGAAATGTGCAGTTACCACAAAATGTAAATTTTACAAAAAAATATGTGTAACATTGTGATACAGGAATAGAAACTGTATTTCTGTACAGGATAATTATTTAGTTTTATTTTCTTCTGTTTAATTAGTTTGTGCATAGTAGTTGAAATTACATAAGGGTGATATATCCGATAATCACAAATTTAATTAAGCCTTGGATGCCAACACGTTTTCATTTATTTAAATTAGTTAAATTTATTTCAATTGTGTTCTGTTTTATTTTTCTATTTTAATTTCATTTCATCTGTTTTATTTTATTAACTTCACGTTTAGTTTATGTTGTTATATTTAATGAGTTTTTAGTATTTTGTTTTATTTTATTTCATTTATGTTAATTTCAATTGATTTCATTTTTTTTTTTTTTTCTTTAAATTTTATTAATTTTATTCAATTTAATCTAATTTATTTTTTTATTTATTTTATTTATTTTTTGTTTTATTTTATTTTATGTTATTATTTTCAATAAATTTTATTTTTTTGTATTTTACGTTACTTTATTGTACTTTATCTTGTTTATTTTATGTTATTTTATTTTATATCATTTTATTTTATTTTATTTTGTTTTATATTATTTTATGTTTAATTTTTTTTTATAACTATTTGATATTTTATTTCAATTTATTTTAGTATTATCATATTTATTTAATTTTATTTTATTTTATTTTGCTTATTTTAACATATTTCATTTTGTTTAATTTAATCTAATTAATTTTATTATTTTATGTTATTTTAGTTTATTTCATATTTTTTTTTATTTGGTTTTATTTCATTTTATTTTGTTTTATTTCATTTTATAATATTTTATTTTATATTACTTTATTTTATGTTGTTTTATTTTATTTTAATTTATTTTATTTAATTGTATTCTATTTCATTTTTATATAACTTTATTTAATTTTTATTTCATGTTATTTTGGTATATTTAATTTTTTTTTATTTTGTATTTATTTTTATATATTTCATATATTTTATAAATTATAATATTTTATTTGTTATTTAACTTCATTTTATTTTTTTTTTTTATTCTCTTTTATTATAATTTTTTAATTATGTATTATTTGATTTGATTTCAATTTATTTTGTTTAATTTTATTTTATTTTCTTTACTTTACTTAATTTTATTTTATTTTCTTTATTTTATAATATTTCATTTTATTTAGTTTGTTCTAATTTATTTTATTTTAATTTCATTTCTTTATTTTGTTAATTTTCTTTCCTTCTTAGCGATAAAAACATCCTATTATTAAAGATAACAATGTATTCAGATAATAAAATGTAAATCCAATCGTGTGAAATTGCATCACAGTAAATCGAATTGTGTTTAATGAAAATATAAACAGAGAGTTCGTGTTAAAAAAAAACGAGTTAGCTATTCCAGACAAAATTAATGAAAATAGCAAGTAAACAGATACAGAATAGAAGAAAACGAAGTACATTAATGTTTACAACAACAGCAATAATAATCAATGCCAATAATGCCGGCACAACACTTGTTGTCGTAAAAACGAACAAGAACCACCCAAATTATCGCCAACATCTTAGTGAGTATCAAATCTGTGAGAAATTGCTGTCAGGCAGTCACGTTTCCACGGCAAATTCGATTGATTGACCGAGTGACAAGCTGAGCGGCCGAGAAAGTTGTTGGCCAATTCACTAGCAGGTCACACTCAATTACAACAACAACAAGTTAAATTTCATTATCAGCGAGCCGCAAATGATGTTGCATGGACGTATATACACACACTTTTGTGTACATGGTATATATATATATTTATACTATAGTAGGTGACAACACGAAAATGAGGAAGTAAATGACAAAGGAGAGTCGTCTGGCAATTGGCTTTGCAGCAGAAGCAACGTTGCAACAAGTAGCAGAAGAACGCTGCGGGCAAAAGCCATAGCGTTTAGAGCCAAAACAAGCTGCCCGCAAGCCGTTGGCAGCCAATAGTCGTTTGATAGACCTCGCCGCAGTCGCGTCAATTGCTTGCGAACTCACTCATCGGACTACACTATAATATTATAGCACGTCTGTCGAAGACAAGTGGTAGAATCTAATTGCAAGACAAATTTATTAATTATATTAGTGTATACTGGTGCATACAAACATACAGATTTATGTAATATTAGCCAAGGAAGTTGACGCAATAAAGCAAAAAATATACAAAATGGTGATCGATATCAAAATGTGTCGTTTCGAGAATGTCCCTTGGGGTTTTCGTTTAGTCGGCGGTGCAGATTTTGAGTTTCCGCTGACGGTTGTTAAGGTTAGTACGGGACGAGACTCTGAAAATTTTCAACATTTTTATGTGGAAAATTCAATTTATCATCAGTGTTTTGTCCACTCAGCCACTGGAGTTTGAGTTTCGTAATTTTGGGCTAGCTAATTTTGCTTTAAATGCCCGAAAACTGAGGTGAAAAAAATGTGTAAATGAAAAATTTTGTGGTAAAATCAAATTACGTAACTTTGAAATGAATTCTATTCGGCTGTTGCGTCGTCGTTGGTGCATAAAAGCGTACGTACGCATGTACATACGCAATATGTAAGTGTTTTGTTGGTGTTTTTGGAAAGCCAAATCGCTGACTTTCAAAATTTCTTGCAATAAATTTGAAGAATTAACTTCATTCAACGTTTACCAACAACTTTAATGTGCGTTTATGCCCATAAATGGAAATACAAATAAAAAGAAATGCTGCCACTCCACACACACACACACACACATTTGGCACTGGCTGGCGACAAAAGGAATAATAATTAAAATGACTTTTCGTTAACATTAACAGGCCATAAAATATTTTATTATTATTGCCAATCAACACGCAAGAGTGCGGTGGGCGCACACGCACACACACACACACACACACACACACACACACACACACGTCAACATACAAACAAAGAGAGAAACAGAAATATGCTCATTATCGCATAAACTTGATATGGATGTATGTATGTGAGTATGTTTCTGCAATCAAATATATATATGTATATATATTTACACGTATGTACATGTATCTGTTCTATATACTACAAATACATGTGGACCACACATGTACATATGAATGTTTTGTTGAAAGGACTCGTCCTACATTGTCAGCTCTTATGCTTTTATTAAATCAGTAAGTCGGCCAACCACCTTTGCCGTCCTCTCTCTCACTCTTCACGTCCAAGCCCGCCCATCATGCCATCCGTCATACCATCCATCATCACATCGCCATTATTGTCAACCAACTTTCGCATGAATGTCCACACTTTTCTTTCTGCCGCCTCTCGCTCTCTCTTTATACATATATACATATCTTTTATTCAATTTCATTCGTATTGTGATCCTTTGCTCATTTATAATTTTTCGTTTCTTTTTTTAATTACGTACCTTTTATTTACCGTTGAAAAGTGTATAATATAAAAGCAAAATCTAGACGCTTTGCCATTCGCGGCGAAAAATGTGATTGAACAATAAAAGCGAAAAAAAGAATTCAATCAATAAAATTAAAGGTAAGTGTAAAACCTAACATATATGTATATAAAAATCAATATTTAAAATGTGAGAAGCATAACATTTTTTCTTCAACTTTCCATAAATAAAAGTATGGAAAAGGCACCAATTATTTTAGCATTAAACTGAAGGCTTCATTTGCCAGATGGGAGTATCCGACTTATATCAAACATACAACGTTTTGCTCAATTTTCGAATGGCCATTTTAATAATGGAATTGTCATTATGCCTCTCTCACATACTCCTAAACTCTTATCTCTATTGGCAATGGATTGTGACAATCAATTAAAACAGGCTTTTCTCGAGGCCAATTCTTCATCAGTCAAATAATTAGACATAGACAGGTTTAGACGAAGATCACTTGATGTGGGGTGGGAACTATAAGATTAATGAATAAGAACCTCCTAAACAAAGTCTCGGAACTACTGGCAAGTCGTTATCGATGTATATATGTGGTATGGGGTTTTTCTGATAAAACGCAAAAATTCCCATTTTGTTAACAAAGGCTAGGCACTTCTGGGCGATTGCATTCTTCAGACGTTCCAATTGCTGACAGTCTCGAATTTAGAGTTTGATCCGAAACGAATAACTTTTGGTGGATTATTTCTTGCCAACTTGCACCTTAATATACAAAAATACTTTCCTTGCCGTAAATTATGGCTTGGAGACTGTTTGTGCCGGCTCACAGCCTTTCGAATTTATTTTCAGTTGACGTTACTGTTGGTGATCCACTTTTCATCACCAGCCACCATCCGCATCAGAAACAGGTAGATTTTTTTACGATTAAACAGCGATTCGCAAATGGAAATTCTGTCCATGCGGCCTGTTTTCGTTGACTCATTTGTGACCCATACAACGAGCTTCTTTGCGTACGACCACTTCCATTATATTATCGACATTATCGAAAACTCGGCCTTAATATATTTAATATTCGAATGAGCAAGTTTTTCATTATTGTAATAAAGTTGGTCCATGTTTACAGGTCTCCTTTCACTTGTCAATAAAAAATGCTAAAAAAAGATAATAATAAATACTCAACGACGTTTGTTACTCTCTCAAACCAAACCGGCAGTAAATTATTCCTAATTTTGTTCCATGTATTTTTATTCGGGAATATTTACCATTTCAATGCATCAATGGAATATCTAAATGATTGGAGTGATCTTTTAAAATATATCAGGCAACTTTCTAATCTTATTTCCCCATTATTTTGGTATATTATATATGCAGAAAAGTTAAAGTTCATAAATCATCATCACCCTGTGTTGTTTCAAGCAAACTTTGAAAGAATAAAATGTTTTAAAAGATATGCATTTACCGCTACTCTGGCGTTGAAACACTATATTTTTGCGTACGTCTTCGAACACGTCCAAGCCTGCTGTGAAAACTTTATATGCGGTATCTCTTACCTCACGATTAGAATGTAACGAGGGGGTTTTGTCCTTGCTATGGCGACTCCAGAGACCACCAATCGGACCCCCCTAACCCAATGGTTAAATAAAACACGGACGTGTCTGAAAGCGATAGGAAGTCGGTAAATTTGTACAGCCTCATACACGTGGGTCGATGCGGCGTAACTCGGTTCGGTGGTTCACTATAAACTCCCTTAGAGATCTAAAATCAACTCCCTGTCCTGAAGCGTCAAGGTCAGTAAAAATACTTTTGCGTTGATTGTCAGATCTTCGACATGACAGTTCATTATTCCGCTATAAAATCAACCACTGCGAAAACTTTCGCACGTAATAGTGAAATGCAATTCAAGGTTCAAAAACTGCTCGTAATGAAGATGCATGAGGAATGTAATCCCAAGAAATATATTTCTAGAATGCACAAATCCTTTGATAACCATTTCCAGAGAAATAAAAAATTTGCTACTGAAGTACGAGAAACAAGAAATTTTGATTTCATAAATCCAATGCAGATAAATGATTTGATTTCATAAACAAAATATATTCTGACAATTCTAGGGTAGGCGTAAGTACGAGTTCACAGCGAATGGGGCTTGTGCACAAGCACAAATAACTTTAAATATTTTCAGGCTTCTTCAATTCGATCAATTTTATTCTCGAAAGGGTTGATAAATCAATAATAGGACTATTAGGTAAGAAATCTCAATAAATATAACCAGTAACGAAATTGAGAGAGTGCAATGTTTTACTTCCTAATGGAAGAAATTTACTGAATTAACTGAAAAAATTACCCGGCGAGTTGCATAACAGTATTTTGCTTTGGCGATCATTTAAGAAGTTTATTGTATTCTGTTTTAGGTTAGAAAGTGTATTATAAAAAAATTATTGTAATGTAATTAATGAATTGCGCCGTGATTAAATTTCTTCTAAAAGAGGAAGTACACCGAATAATTTTTTTAGAGATATGTCATCTGAAGCGATTTTTGGCCGTGTCCTCATCCATTTTGTGATTTTGCATCTAGATGTTCTAATGAGGAGCTTTTCATTTCATGTCTGAGATACACTCATAGGGTTGGCATTTTCTATAAATATTTTTTGGATGTTACTGCGGCACCAGGATATTAACCCATCCGAATATCAATACATAATACCAACCATTCGGCTACCGCGGTCGTCATATACGAAGATGAAAAATGAGTTCGGCTTTTTCAACAGAGAAGAGAGACCTATGAAGATAACTCCCGCCTGGTGCGCCTAGTGACGGTCGTGACCTATGAACATGTTCAGAAAGTCAAGAAATTAGTACTATTTAATTGAATAATTAAATTGCTGCAGATATTAGAAAGATTACAGATTAACAAAGAAGCTGAAGAGACTTCCTATTAGCATCTGCAATAACATTTGAATATGAAAAAAATTAGTGCTCGTAGGTTACGGCGAATGCTCACGCCGCTCGACACGCAGCGCCTATGGCAGAGTTGTATTTGTGCAGTTTTGCGAAGATGATTTTGATAAAACTTACAACCGCATTTGATGAAACTTGGATTTGTCAGTATGACCCCGAGTTCGAAGAGGAGACGATACAGTGGCAAAGGCCAAAAAAAAATTTCAAGGTGGAAAAGTCGATGTGAAAGATTATGGCTACTAGTTTCTGGGACAGCGAGGGAATATTATTAGTTGATTACATGCGAAAGAGAACATAGAACGGCCAGTATTACGCTAATTTGTGAAGTCGTGGCGAAATGCTGTAACCTAAAAAAGCTACAAGGTGTACATAAATTGACCTAGCCTAGCTAATGGTGACTTTTTCCTTTTTCAAATGTAAAATGGAGTTTCCGGGACAAAAACTTTTAGAGTCAGTGAGAAAATCATTTTGAAGAAATATATAAGTAATATTTTTTCAGTGGTATAAAAGCAGCATTGAGTTCACGATGTAAAAAGTGTATTTCACTTGAGGGAGACTATATTGAAAAAATCAAAAAACTTAGAACTATACACATGTTCCTTAAGCAGCCGCTCCTCGTATATGCTGATAGTTTTTTGAAAGGGCAAATATTAATGTCAAACTAACTTTGCGTTTCATTTTTCTTTTTGAATGTGGCTTACTTTTTATTTGGTGCACTGTCGTCGCTTTTAGTATCCTAAGGATGCATTATTAGCACTTTGTCCGCAGCAGCAACTTTGCTTAGCAATTTGCAGCTTATTTGGTCATCAATGATTTCTAGAAACCAAATTCAGCTTGCTTAGCAAAGAAGGTAACTTCTAAGTCTTCAACGTAAGCTACTTAGTGTGCGAGCGACGATTTCACTCCACAGCCACGACATTTTCATTTAACGAGTACCTTAATTATTTACTGGAGTCGTTGTTATCAATTTAATTTACAATAATATAATTTTTTTTTTCATAATATTAGTTTCAGTTTGTTGACATAAATTCAATGATGTGATCACAATTCAGCCTTTGTCCATACTTTCTAGTTTTTATTGGCACGAATTTGCAGCTTTCTCTCCATATTAAAATTCCGCTCTCTTGTTACTAATTTTTGGCACACCGAACGCAGTTCACTAAAATTTACTAATAATTTTTACAGCCCACCAGTTCACCGAACAGAACTATTGTCAAGAAATATATTAGGAATAAATAAAACTAAAAAAGTAGAATTTTGAAACAGAAAATAACTTCTTTTTATTTTGTCGAAACTCTCAGTTCAGTATTACAATTCAAATTTTTGTCGTGAAATAATGATAAAATATCTTTAATAAATAATATATGCAGTTTATTTAAAAACATTCATTTAAAAGGTAACTATATAAGGTTACTGTTTAAACATTATTATAAAATCTTTATCCGTATCAATTGAATGTGTAATTTTATAATTTAAATCACACAAAATTGCAGTAAATAGCAAAAAACCAGATATATGTATTTTGTATTATATTAATTTAGTGAAAGCTAGAGATATATATTTAGTAAATTTAATAGAAATTTTCTCCACATAGTTTAAGATTGAAATTTGGTATAGATAAATAGGCTTACCATGAGATCTAAATTAAATGATTATCGATATAATTAATTTTCTATTATACCGAAACAAACAAACACTAATTCCTCATACTAAAGCTTTACAAATAAACACAAGCGTACGTAGTGTTCAATACCACTGAGAGCAAATTTGCATGTACAATTTACCACTTAATCACTCATTGCTTTGCTATAATTTTCGAACTTAATTCGCCCCATTGCGTATTTGCGTTTTCGCATTTTATTACCACACTTTTCGGCAATCTCCACTTCATTCTCACTCTCTACTCACTTGCTGTTGTATGTCACCGATGTCGGCAACGTCCGCCACCTCCCGACTAACACGCCACTGTCAATCGAGAAACGCGCAATTCTTCAATGTCTAGCCAGACACAGGCAAACAAAAAGAAAGGAAATTAACAACAAAGGAACGACGCAACAACACAAAGAAGGCAAACAAATGAATGAACGAATGTCGCATTCACTGTCACGCACCACACAAATGGCCAAATGGCCGAATTTATTTGTTTATTTATTTTGTTTAATTCCTTTTTTTACAAATTTTTTTTTTCGTTGAAGAGAATAGGAAGAAAAAGTTCATTGCCGAAATTGAGTCACTGACCTAGGAAAGAGTGCGCCGCTTGAATCGTTGCAGAGTTCGAGGAGGAAAAAATTAATATTAATTTTTTTCTTTGCCGAACCCTCCTCGGCTTGTGTTTGATTTTCACTTAATTTTTAATACTTTCCTCCTTTCGTTCGTTTGCTAATTTAGGTCAATGAGGGCAGCATTGCCGAGGAGGCTGGTTTGCGTGAAGATGACGTCATTGTACGCATTAACGACACTGCCACCTCGCCGCTGTCCCACGACGAAGCAGACAAGGTAATTAGGAGTTGTGGAAATGTCTTCTACATTGGTGTGCAACGGTAAGTTATTAATGCAAAATTAATTTCATTCGTCACGATTTATTTGACGTTTCAATATTTACTCATGGTGCAGTGAAAGTGAAGAGGAGCCAGTGCCGAAGATGTTCCCCGTTTTGAGCGCGGAACGTTCACTTACTCCACCAGCCATATCCGATATGACTGGCCGTAAAAGTCCCATACCTCGTCAGCTGGCAGTAGAGTCACCGCCACCGCCGGAAACTGAGCTTTTGCCCGATTTACCCGAGCGCCCATGCTCGGTGCTGTCGGAGCAAAGCGAAATTAAATTGGTGGAAGAAGAAATCGCAGCAGTGCTTTCCGGCGAGTCGGAGGTGCTTAAGGATCACAACGTGTTGGGGTTCGTTTTGTTGGAAAAAATATGTGCATGTGTAGATTTTTTTGTTAATTCTTATTATATTAGCGTAAATTTCTATAGAATATTTCCCAAGCCTGGCGTTTGCATGACCAGTGATGTGCTGCGTACACTCAATGAAAACGCTATCAAAACTAAAGCTGAAAAGGATAAAGAGAATAAGAAATGGTCGACGTTCCTGATAAAACCCGATCGTCCTATTCCTAAGAGCAAGGAACAAATCGAGGCGGAGCGTCGAGCAGCCAATGCTTATAAAGTTCAGATTGTGAAGTCAGCACCAAGGTCACGATCGGTTTCACCGATGGTATGTTGTCACATTAAAAAAAAATAATAATGTTGAAAAAAGTAAATCAAATATCCACCATTCAGCCAAATCCACCAGAGCCTGTAACGCCAGCTGAGCCATTAATTGAAGAAAAACAGCCCACACCACCAAAAGTCGAGGAAGTTGAGGAACCACCACCAACCGACAGTGAGCTACCGAACTTGGTGGAGGTAAAAATTGCAGTTGAACCGCCAGTTGAGGAAAATGAAAATCTACAGCTTGAGGCTGCAAGTGAGCAGAACACAGAAGAGCAAGAAAGTGAAGAAGTTGGAAGTAAGTGTGAGCAACAATCACCACCGGCAGAGGCGGTGTCAAGCGTCGAAGAGATAGAGGAAAAGGACATAGTGGCGAATGGGGATGAAACTACAAATAATGTTGCTACCTCAGCAGCATCTGACAATTCTTCTTTGATCCAACGTGAAAAAACCGAAGAAGAGCTGGCACTTGAACGCCAATTGGCCGATGTGCAACGCCAGTTAGCTGCACTTTCCTCTTTACCCTCGACCATTCAGTCGACACTCGATGCAGTCACAAAGCAATTGGCAAGTCTACTGCCCGCTTTCCAGTTGCAGACCACGGCCCAGACACAGCCGTCGCAATCTCAAGTGACTTCTGTTGCTGCAGCTGAACCGCGCTCTATTAGTTTGGAAAAGATTGATGAAAGCGCTGAAGTGGCAAAAATAGAGAAAGAAGAAGAACAAGGTGAGGCTCTTGAGGTCATATGTGTGCACTTAGTTACATATAAAGTGCATTTGGAAATTAACAGTGTTTATGTTGGAAAAAAAATAAAACTTGTTTTCGAATCTTTTAGCTTCGAAGTCAGCTAGCAGTTTAGAGAATTCAGTGGTTGCCGAAAAAGATTCGGAATCTCTTGAAGCTGTTAAAGAAAACATCGAAACCGATACGCCCGTTTTGAGTGCAGTCAAACAGCAGGAAGCCAAACAAAACAAAGAGGATAGACAGCAAATGGAGGAAGAGCAAGATGTAAAGAAACAAAAGGTGAGTTGAATTCTCAAACACAAATCTTACGTTTTGATAAATTTAAAAATATTTGGAAGTTTTGTCAACAAAAATAAGTTTTATAGATAAAAAAATGATTCCGAAGAATTCTCAAACTTGTCCTTCCGCAGAAGTAAAATTTTTTGGAGAGATATCGAGAAAAAAAATAATACTTTTTTCTTTATCTATTTTTAATTAATTTTTATCTTTAAAAAAGTCAAAGAAGAATAATTTTATGATTCTGTCGATATTGATATTTAATTGGACAGATTATTTTGCATTCAAAATCTTCCACAAATTTACTCCTTTCTTACCCACACAAATTCTAAAAACTCATATTATCCACTAAATAATAGCCCTATTTAAAGCTTTTGGTCTTTTACAGCGGCACACAGTACGCTTTGAGTTATGAAGATGAAAGTTTGAGCCAGAGCGTGCTTTAATATAATCGGCAGTCTTTAAAATATACACGAAAAAAAAAATAAAAAAATTATTATTTTCAATTAAAAAAAAATTTCCTTTAAAAGCTTTTAAACTCTTGCCTCAAATAATCTTTTCAAAGAAAGTCAATTTATAATTAAAATTAATTTAAAATCCCAACCTTATTCTCTATACATACTCATATATGTACATATGCACATATGCTTGAATTGCCATTCACATATATTTACTTGTGTACAAAATGTCGGTAAATTACATGAAACTGACACTAAACCTGGCAGCGGAGCGAGGTAATCGAGGAACTTGAAGAACAGTTGGAGCGCAAATCCAACCCTCGTCGTTCGAAGCGTGCTTTCGGTCCATTGACACCGTCTTCTGAGAGACCACTGGTACTGCCGGGCGGTAGGCGTTGGTATAAACCTAAGGATGCATACAACGATGAATTTATAGCGGAAACATTGAGTGCACAGGCAGAACTCATCACGGGCACCACTTTGGGGTATTTACAGTAACGCTTAAAAAATTGAATGTGCAAATTGATTTAAAAAAATGGCTAATAAAACGATACATAAATATAATAATTTATTAATCTTTTTTTGTCAACTAATCACTAATAATAACTATTTTGTGTTTAATAAAGAAAAAATTATTGAATTGAATGTTCATAATTTCAATGTAAACAATAAAAATCATTGCTCATGACCACGAAAGCCCAAACCGATCGACCAGGAATAATATCAGTTAAGAACCAACCACAAAAAAACACACATATTATGTTAAAATAAAAAAATATATTCCCATTTTTCTAATTAACACGTCATACAATATTATTTTAAAAACGGCCATTATTATTTTTTTAAAGACAGTTTTCATGTGTAATATTTATTTCACCTTTCACGAACATTATGTAGTACATTAACGTTGGCCCAAGGTAGAGTTGGCTTAGTCATCATCTGTCTATCCGTCTGTTCTTTCAGCTGTTTCATAGCACACAAGTATCTCAGTTTTTAAGATATTTGAACGAGACAGGTTTGTATTTTTTCAAGCACCACTTTTCGATAATATCATACAGCTTCCTTACAACCGATTGTAAGAGACGGCTCTCGTTTCTTGTTTTTAGTTTGAGTTGCAACGAAAAAAAAAATACTTAATGTATCACAGTTCTATCATCCCTTACTAAAATATTGAAATTCTCAAAAAAAAAATTCAATAAAAATTTAATATTGAAAATAAATTTGTTTTGTAAAACATTATTTTTCTTTGTTTTACTTTATTTTATATTTCTTTTTTTATTTTTTTTTCTATTCTATTTTTTTTTTACTTTATTTTATTTTATTTTATTTTATTTTATTTTATATTATTTTATTTTATTTTATTTTATTTTATTTTATTTTATTTTATTTTATTTTATTTTAGACATATTAATATTTTAATTTATTTCATTTTAATTTATCTTATTTCATTTTTATTAAGTTTATTTTTTATGTTTTTTCACTTTATTTTGCTTCATTTAATTTTATTTCCATTTATTATATTTTCGCCTTATTTATTTTTACTTATTTTAATCTTTTTTATTTAAGTTATCTTTATTTCTTTTATTTTTTAGAATACTTTTATATTTTGTAATATATTATACTGTATAAAATTTTGTTTTTATTGGTTGTGCAATGTTTTTAGTTCATTTGTTAATATTATTTTTTAAATAATTTTATTTTATATGATTTTCTTTCTAAGCTTTAATTTTTTATATATTTAATTGTATTTCCTATATTTAATTGTTTTTTTTTTTAGCTTTATTATATTTTACTTTTATTAGTTTTTGTTTGTATTGTGTAATAGATTATTAATTTGAATGCCTTTATTTAACTTAAATTTCTTTATATTATTTTGCTTAGTTTTATATTGAATATTCATATAATTTCAATTTAGTGTCCTTATTTTCAACCTAAATTCAATTTATTTATTTTAATCTAACTTAATTACCTTTCGTATTTTTCAGCAAGTGTTAAAGCTATTAAGTTCGGAAGCTGCAAAGAAAATTTAGAAAATATAAAATTAGTTTCTTAAATAATTCTTACTATGAATGAAAGTTGAAAATGTGTAGGTGAAAACAGTTTTATTTCAGAATTATTTACTTCTTTCTGCATTTCACTTCATTTTAATTTTTACTACAGATGAAATAAAAATTCAGTAAAAATAGACAGTAGATAAACTTGAAATATTTTGATAACTTTTTTTCTTTTGTTAAAGTAAATTTCGTAGAAAAGGTGAATTACCAAAATGTTAATCAAGTGGGCTCAATATATGTATATTCTCATACACCAAACTATACACCTACCTATTTATACTTGTGTACCAATAGTAATTCCAAGAAATTGGTACATCAAACAAAGAAGCCTACATTCATATATAAATTTATCTTTTGAAATTATAAATAGCTCCGAACATGATTTTTTCTACGTGAATATATTAAATTCAAATTGATTTATATGCATTAACCAGCATACATATTTATTTTCCTATGTATTTAAATATATGCATATAAAATAAAATTCTATTGAAATAATCATACATCCATTTTTTGTTTTTTTTTTTTTTTCAAATCATTTCATTTAATCAACTTAAATGTTGTATTTAACAACAACAACTACTACTACTTCGAAAAAATCGTACTCAACAAATGTCTGTGTTTCTGTGTCCGCATACTTTCATTCATGGGGATTCATCATCGAAGTTGTACATTTGAAAGTCCACTGCTCGCCTACGACCCCAGGTATCTACATAAAATCATACATATAGTAAATATATATGTTTGTTATTTATTTTATTTATTACTATTTATATTTGTATGCCTATTTAGGTATGAATATGTTTTTATATACAATTTGTTTGTATTTTTCTTTTCAATATTTGTAATGCCAATATTCATTTCAATTAACTTTATCTGCTTTTCATTACACAATTCATCAACAATGGGTATGCATGTGCAGGTGTTTCTGTAACAATAAGTTGCCAAAAATAGTTTTTCAATGTGCACTTTTTTGTAACTGGTATATTCGAAGCTATTTTACCTTCAATTTCACTCTCATTCATGTTATATCACATTGCATGATTGTGGTTTTAATATCTACTTCTGTGAATGAATAAAATTCAAGAGATTTATTCCTCATTTTTGTTTTCTAATTTTTTTTAGCTTTAATATATTGTAAATTATTTTTTGTTAATATATTATTATAAAGTATAATTTATTCTTGGTATTTTTTACATTTTTTTCTGTTTTTGATTTTAATTTGCTCCTTTTTTGGTTAAATATTTTATATTATTTATTATATTTTTCCTTAATTTATTTAATGTTTTCCCAATTGCTATTTAGTACTTTCTTTTTATTTTATGGAAGTAAAGATATATCATTTTTGTTAAAGAATCTCTATCAATTTATAACTATGTCGAGACTAGGACAACTTCTACGTTTTTATATGTATGTAAATATATAGATGTATATACTGCCTTCAATAACTGTTTAAGCTTGCAAATTAATCAAATATGACTTTATAAAGATTTTCCGAAAATTCATCATTCAACTCTGCAGCTGCATACTTTGCGCAGTAGTAAGAAACTTTTCTTGAGGTAATCAGCAAACACCTCACATTCGCTTCTCTCTACCAATATTTGAATTAATTTGCTAAACTGAAAATCAAATAAAACTATAATTGGTTAGTTGATGTAAATATCCAGTAAAATTTTCCATGCCCCCCGTGTGAAAACTTTTACTAAAAATTTTAAGCCACTGAATATGTAAATGAAAGGCCATACAAAATACAAGAATCAAAAAGATGCTTACCACAATATAAATGTGGAAATGGAGTCGATATATTAAATATATTAAAATACAATTTAATTAAAAAGAATAAATAAATAAAATAAATAAATAAATAAAATAAAAATAAAAATTAGAAAATTGAGTAAAATTAAATAAAACTAAGTAGAAGTAAATTAAATTATATTAAATGAAATAAAATAAGTTAAATTAAATTAAATCAATCTAAATAAAAAAATGGAAATAAAAAATAAAATATTAAATAAAGATATAATGAAAAATATTAAATAAAATAAGAAAAATTTAACCAAACTAGTATTTAAATTTTTGTCTTACTTCAACCAAACTTGGAAGACAGCTGCAAAGCTACTGTATGTCAATTAATTGTTAGCAAAATGAAAAAATCACAAAAATCTCTTTTTAAATCTTATTTCATAAATGAAAATATTGGTATTGATAATCTAAGTATTCTTAACAAATATCACTTGCAGAAATAACAAACATTGTAACCAAACGGTAAAAAAAATAAAAAAAATTTGAAATTCGCCAAATAATGCGTTGTCAATTTAATTTTTGCATAATGTCCATATAATTCAAAATAAAACGTAGATAACTTAACGGTACCACAAATTTGAAAACGAGTGAACGAGTGCATGATAGCAATGAATTGCTATTACATTCAATTCGATTAATGCTTTGGACAGTTCAGATCTTGTTGATTTAGCGCTTTCAACTATGCCTGGCAAGCGAACAAATAAAAATCTTTTTCAATTAGTTTATTTTAACTACCACAAAGGGAAATCGGCTAAGGAATTAGCGGAAATGTTTTCCATCAAGCTTAGAACGATTTATAATATTATTAATTGCGCAGAAGAAGAAAACGAATGGAAGTAAAGCACTCTGGAGGTAGCCCACGGAAACTTTCTAGACTAGACCTCAAACCACCCTGTGGAAATTGGCGTTAGATATTAAAAATGAAGCCATAAAACAGTAAGTCACGAGACAATTCGAAAAGTCTTAAAAATACACAAATAGCTGAAAAGAAATCATTGTTGTCGATATTTATTACGGAATACTGGTATGACGTTTTTTTTTGCGACGAGACAAAAAAATATGTTATACTATCATGATAGACCTAATAAATTTTGGAGAAAACCCAGCACAGCTTTGCGACAGAAAAATATATTTCCAACAGCAAAAATTCGTAAACTTTTTGCATTGGTTTGGGGTTGCATTTCGTCGAAAGGAGCTGGTGAGCTCCCAATTTTCAATGACGTGATGTTGAAGGAGTTTTACATGGACATTCTAAAGAACGAATTGTTATGGAGTGCGATAAGACTTGGATATGTTAACCATGAAAACCCCTATAAATTTAGGTACAAACTGTAACAGGACAACGATGCCAAACAGTAAATTGATGGACACAACTGCCCAGAGTCCTGACTTAAGCCCCTTAGAAAATGTATGGGCTTTTTTTGAAGAAGCGAGTAGGCAAACGGGGCTCATTTAATAAAAACGCTCTTATTAAGGTCCTTCAGGAAGAGTGGAACAAAATACAATACCTGAAAATTATGACTTAAATAACCCCCGTCGTCTTCGCGCTGTTATAGATACAAGTGGCCATCATACCAAATATTAGTGCCAGTACTGCTATATTTTCCCAGTTTTTTTAATTAATTTTAATTAATTAATTTTAATTGACACCATATTATTTGCTGTACTTTGAATTTTTATATTTCTTTTACTTTTGCGTCCTGAGTTCTGGAATTTGTGGGCGTTACTTATGTTAAGATTACTCTGACTAATATTATTTAAAAAAAAAAATTGTATAAGGAAAATTATTTCAGTTAATAAAAATCAAGTTAAAAACAGAATTTGTTTGATTTTTGTCTTTTTGCAAACAATTAATTGACATACTGTAAATTCATCATAATTTTTATATACAAAAATAAACGTTGGCAACGATAATTATCGATATAAGAAAATTTCGTCATATAGTCCCATGCAACTATATATGTATAAATGAATGAAATTGAAATACCGTAAATTTGATATGGTCATGAATTGTTCGTCATGTTCAAAGATAGTTTGACTTAGGTTAATCAATATTTATTTTTTCACTCTATTTAATTAATGTTCTATTATGTACTAAATATATTATTTGATTTTATTTGTATTGCTTTGATTTAATTTCAATTTATTTCTTCCATTTATTGAAAATAGATATTTCTATTAAATATACTATGTGTATTGGTTTTATTTCAAAAGTTCCGACAAGAAAAATCATTATACCTGAAATTCTTGCTAAAAAAAAATAAAAGAAATGAAATAAAAGTTTAGTGACAGTACCTCATCAACCAAATAGAGCCACATAATACGCAAACATACAAGCCACAGTCAATCACACATACACCTAATTGTACGCACACTCAGCATGTCGAGGGGCACTTGTGATGAACAATCAATTGCACTTCAATCAAATTTTCATTCATGTGCTTTAATGTGTACTTCATTTATTTTTTCCTGATTTCCTGTTTTTTCCGTCACTGCCCCAAATGCTGTTCGGCACAGATGCTTGTACGTAATAGCAAAGTATTTCTTCTCCTGTCTGGCCAGCACAATGTTAGACCAATAACTGAATGACTCACCGGAATGACGGACTGACAGCTCGAAGTCCCTGTTCACCAAGCAATTTATTTTATTTCATTCAACATTCAATAGTTTTTCATCGACATGCTTTTCATTTTACTTTGTTATTATACGGGTGTATGTATTTTCTCCATTTTTCCTTTCAACCACTCATTTTTGCCTCATTTCCATTATGTATGTTTACAATTGCTACAACGATTGCATATCAACTTGCAATATGTTAAAAATAATTTTTCTTTGTGCACCATTTTATTCTCTCATTTTTATAATTTTTTTCCTTGCTCTTCTTCTTTTTTTCGACTGCTCTACACTTACATTTACTATATATAAACAGAGTCAACTTCATGAAGTATCAAAAGCCTGAAAAGAAAATCGACTTGAATAGAAGTGAAGTTTACAAAGTAATTCATCACTTGGACCGACAGCCAGTGCGCGGCATTGAGGTTCGGCCACCCGTGGTGCCGGCTGAAGTGGATATAAGAAAGGTGGCATTGCAACCGTAACCTGCCACACCCGAAAGCGGTCGCGGCCGGCTACAGAAATGTGGTTCGCGCAGCGGAGTGGTAGGAGCAACTGCACCACTACCTTCAGCGCCAACTCTAACCTCAACCCTCAGATGTATGCTAATATCAAAACCATGTTTTCGCTAAAACACAACAAAATCGAGAGAATAGAAAGAAGAAGTTGCCGCAAACCGCAAACTGATGCGTGCTTCCAACAACCAGCAACCAGCAGCCAAGCAACCAACCGCTCAGCCATATTCATATATAATATATGAATATAATAACGTATACACGTAAATAAATATAAATGTATGAAAATATAAGTATATATAAATATATAAATACGCAACCGCGAACCTCAAATACCCAAATGCCTCCTCCGCATCCTGCGCCCTGCGTCCTGTGCCAATGCTGATTTCTAATTTAACTTTTATGTAGAGGTAGTTACATATATACATGCATACATTCAAGCAGATAACCATATTTTGCTGCCTGATGATGGCATAACATATTTAATGTTTTAATGTAAAAAGGAAAAAAAATCTGATTTTAATTTACTTCGCATTCGTTTTGTGACAAAAAAATTAAATAAAAAAACAACAACAAAGATGATTGTAATAAATCAAAATTATAAAAATATATCCACGTATTTACATACAATTTTTTTTATAGAGCGATGGGGAGGGGAGTTTTAAATAAACGGTAAATAGCAATGAGTTCGCAAAAGGGAATTATTCTGCTTTTAAACGGAATTTATAACAGATGACATTTGCAATATCTTGACGGACGGAGGAGGTTTAAAATATATTGAAATATAATATTTGAAAAATATTATAATTTCTGCTTTAAAGAGGAGAGCAAAGCAGTTTCGTACTTCCTTGGATGACCGTAATTTTTCTTCTTCTTTCAAATATTTTTTCAAAGGAAGCGATGTAGCTCACTTTAGTGGTTTCAGCTTAGGTTCGTAGAACATGAGTAAAAAATATAAGGAAAGATGATCTGGGAAGGCACGGGTCTTACAAACAGACTGCCGAACGATTCTTTACCCAACTTACACTCCTGTTCTCTGAGAACACTCATCGGCAACTCGGGTATAAGAATCTATGGGACGGAAATTCAAACGCCATTCATACAGCTGTAAACGCCAATATTGAGTTTCGAAACAGGTCACAAGTACAGCTGGTACGATGAGTACTGCCGCGTCGCCTACAACACAAGCTTGCGACCGACCACAACACGTGCGGAGTGGGGTAGATATCGAGAGCTTAAGAGGGAAGCAAAACGCATTTGAAGGGAAAAAAGAAAGAGGCCGAAATGCGTGAGTAAGTGGAGCTTGAGAAGATGGCCGACAAGGGTAATGCTCGAAAGTTCTACGAAAGCATACAGCAGCTTACAGAAACAGACTCTCGTTATACTGAGATGGGTGTTCCTAAGAAGGTTTTGAGATAGAATTACATCTAAACCTATGGGCACAGGCTAGCAAGTTGTAGGCTCTGCTGGAACTGCTGGAAGATTTGTGAATAAGAGCTAAACCTCTGTCTCTAAAACCTCATTTAAAGACTTCTGTACCCACACTAGCCCCGAAAGAGACAAGCCGATTCATATGAAAGAAAAAATAAGAAGCCTAATTTTTATGAAGAAAGCAAAGATTGGGGTGGTCCAAACGCCCTAAAGCTGGCGTGAACACTTGTGCTACCTAAATCCAAAAATTCAACACAGAAACGAAACTCTAGTGCCATATTCCAGATTTAAACATAGACAGTACTAGCCAGAAAGGGAGATAGGAAGAGATTTTTGTTTCAAGTAGTAGCAGAGTATTTAGCTTCAACTGCACATTTGCGTATAGGAAACATATTCAGACCAAAATCTTCGCCTTAACCTAGGGCACACTCACCAATAAATTTTTTGGATGTCTACTCTCCCAAAGCCTTAGTAATATGCTTGCTCGTAAAAAATTGGGCAAAATCGTGCTCTTAAGACTATCTTTCAATCAAAATACATATGCACCTCCTTATCAGAAGTGAAGCTCGAAAGGCCAACCACTTGCCCGAATGATGGGCTCAGTGGAGAGCTCCCATCCGTTCTTGCGCAAATTTTCGTATTCAAAGTTTCTGCAGAGACTTCACCTCATTTCCTTAAGCGAGAAAGAGTTTCGTAGTCAAACTGGGAGACTCATGGATCCACAAAAGATTGAGTAATATAACGCACGCTTCAATTCAAAGAGAATCTCTCTTACATCTGCGTACATACACTCACATATTCAACATCATCGAAATATGAAATATTTTAATAAATTTCGTTTTACATGCAATTGACACACTAATAATATCGTTTTAACAAGCTATAAATGGGCAGCAGCAGCGCCTGGCCTAAGCTAGTTTGGAAGACTATTGAAGCTACCAAAAAATCACTACCATTTTGCCAGCAACAGCCAGTCAGTCAATCAACAAATAATCAACAACAACAAGATCACAAGCAGCAACGCCCTTCCACTCTCCACCCATCCAGCTGTGGCTTTTCGCTTTTGACATTTGCATTTGTTGGTTTATTGGTAGCATCGATTGCGTTGACAATCGAAATTTGTGAATTTTGAATGTGATTACGGTATCGACGGATGCGATTGTGGCAGTCGCACAGTACGCCATGCCAATAATAATACAAACAACAACAACATATACTCAAAAAACTCATAGTGCTGAACGTTGGATCCACGAGGGAGTGAAAATGGAGGGGCGGCAGGCCAAAGAAGGGTAGGGCAATAGATTTGATTCACTGCCAGCTGCCAAATGCTGGCAATCGTTGCCAACTGCCAAATTCATTGTCAACAAGTTCCCTATTGCCGAAAGACAGATATGCTCAAATATTTTTTATTTGCACTTTCATACATATATGTGCGTGTGTCTATATACGAGTATAGGCGTATGTGTGCAATGTAACTCCGCAAATATTTGTGTATCATTTGGTTCGTTGAAGTAATCCAATATGTACTCCTCGGTAGTGTACTATTGGATCAACTCACGTCTCGTCATCATCCGGTTGTTAGCCGATGATTGCTCGTGTTCTAACGATCGAAATAACGGAACAAGTTGCAAGTGCGCAGCTAAATTTTGGCTCGCCAGCAGAAAGGTATGAAACTGAAATTGATAATGTAGCCGCTTTAGGTACTCCATGGAATATTTTTAAAGCGTAGCTTTAAAACCAATAATCCGTGGATTACTCGGATATTATGAAGAGATGGAGTATATGGTTCAGTCCTTGGCCCACTGATATCGCTATTATTTGACCATATTTTTTTATATGTATTGTTGCTAGGTTTGGACTACTCTATTGTTCACGCTTGCATGAAGTACTCGTTTTGTTTGCATGGAACTTAATATGATCCAATGGAAGCGCGTACGCCTTTGTCAATCATTTCAATTTTGTGGTTATTGACGAGCGCAATGGAGTTGATGTGCATGTGACAACATACATACTATTTTATGTACATATATTCGTGAATACTTTTGAAATATATGAGTAAAGATTACATCATATTTTAGTTAGTGGCACATAACATGTGGCATAAATAGCACATCAAGGCTTGTGCTTCCTCTTAAATTTGCCAATATATAATATACATGTATATATATCTATGTGAATACTCATATATGTTTTTCTTATGGAAATAAATATATAAAATATTAAAGTACAAATGTGTGTATTTTCATGAAATATTTGTTTAAATATTTAGAGGCAAATCATAACGTCCTGGTCTTTATCTTGACTTGAATATCAATTGAAAAAAAGGTTTGGTATTAAGTCATGGCCATTGTTGTTTTTTCTGGAACGATACGTATCTATTTATTTAAAATTTATAAACAATAGTTGTTTTTAGTTTAAAAAAATTCCTAAATTTTCAATCCATATAAAAATCAAAAAGTTATAAGTAGCTTTTCGTTTTCTATTTAATACAAAAATCTCTCCGCCATTCCGAAGCCTTTCTACTTTTCATGAACCCACCAAATTTGTATGGTCTTTTGAAGATTTGAAGCTGAACCTCACATGAGATATAGTCTTCTGATTTCGTAGTGAACATTTATTTGAATTTACCTCAACATTGACGGATATTCGACACGAAACCTTATATTTTCACAAATTGATTGTATAGCGGCCCGATTTTGCTGGGTCCGATAAATGAGCTTTAGTACAAAAATACATCTGCGAAAACAACTTGGTTAAAACATCTCATCACACTAAAGGACAGGTCTACGTGCAACCTGACACAAACTAAGAAGCCAGATAAATGGAAGGTCGAGGTTGATTCAAATCAGCTCGGCGATTAAAAAGTATTTATAAATTATAAATATTGTAAAATAAATATTTTATAAAATAAATTTATTGGAGTTAAATCAAATTGATATTGTGTTTTTATTGACCTCAAGCCGGCAAACAAGTTTCAATTAAAAATTAATAGTTAACATATTGATTACTTTTGAATGTTAAATATTAAAAAAAAAAATATAGAAATCGCCACTACTCTATTTGTTCTGTTCATTGTATTCTGCACTTACTGTTAGAAAATATTCTTCAATAAACTTAAGATCGATTTGATCATAACTTGATACCATACGATAAATGTAGCCCTCAGGTTTTTTGCTGGAGATCTATTCACGGACGCCACTTAGATACGTTCTTTTACCATGAGGGGTTTCTAGACGTATACTTTACTAAGCAAATATGAAGATTTGATAAATTTGAGCCATAGATATCCTTATGCTCAAATTATTAATTTCTGACTGTAATGGTGTGGTCGTTAGAAATTTAAGTCTATGCCTCGATAGAGCGAAATCTTTTCGGGGTAGGATTAGAATAGAGTATATGTTTTAACAGTTTAAAAGTCTGTATATTTAGCATGAATGAATCTGTTTTTGACTTAGACCTGTTGCCATGATATTGGCAGCCACGGTAGCCGAGTGTTTAGAATTGCGCACTACCATTCGGAAGTTTCGGGTTCAAGTTCTAGTGTAGGATTAAAACAACTTATCAAAAATGAAGCAAAATGGAATAAAGCCTCTCTTAAAAAACCACCACTCGTTCAGAGGCGGCTTAGCATAAACTGTAGGTCCCTCAATTTGTTGGAAAAAGATCCTGACTCAAAACCACAAATTGGAGGGGGGGTCGGCCGAAAATCGCATCAGCGCTTACAAAGCGTCAATTATATATCAGGTGTAGTAAAAAGTAATCCATTACTTTTCTAATAGATGACGTCATTTACCTGTTTCTCGCGTTGCATAAGTTCGATAGAAATAGGGAACGACATGTATTGCCGTCTGCGCGAAGAAGAAAGTAACTAACAATCAAAATTTGTTAAAGTGTAATATAGCTGATACCAGCAGCAAGACAGTCATACAGTGAGGAATCACTGGAAACGTTACTTGAGGGTAACTTTTCATTAGACCTATTATGAACGAGGTGTCTTGTTGGCAAGAACTACTAGGGCGGATCATTGAGAAAGTGTGGGCGGCATAGCGGATCCAGATAAAGTTATGTTGCTAATAGAGGCATTCTCGGATTATAAATCAACGGA